TGATTTATGTCGGAGAGTGTTTTGCCTATGTTCTCCTCTAGGAGTTTTATAGTTTCTGGTCTTACATTTAGATCTTTAATCCATTTTGAGTTTATTTTTGTGTATGGTGTTAGAAAGTGTTCTAGTTTCATTCTTCTACAAGTGGTTGACCAGTTTTCCTAGCACCACTTGTTAAAGAGGTTGTCTTTTTTCCATTGTATATCCTTGCCTCCTTTGTCAAAGATAAGGTGTCCATAGGTTCATGGATTTATCTCTGGGCTTTCTATTCTGTTCCATTGATCTATATTTCTGTCTTTGTGCCAGTACCATACTGTCTTGATGACTGTGGCTTTGTAGTATAGTCTGAAGTCAGGTAGGTTGATTCCTCCAGTTCCATTCTTCTTTCTCAAGATTGCTTTGGCTATTCGAGGTTTTTTTGTATTTCCATACAAATTGTGACATTATTTGTTCTAGTTCTGTGAAAAATACCATTGGTAGCTTGATAGGGATTGCACTGAATCTATAGATTGCTTTGGGTAGTATAGTCATTTTGACAATATTGATTCTTCCAATCCATGAACACGGTATATTTCTCCATCTGTTTGTGTCCTCTTTGATTTCTTTCATCAGTGTTTTATAGTTTTCTATGTATAGGTCTTTGGTTTCTTTAGGTAGATATACTCCTAAGTATTTTATTCTTTTTGTTGCAGTGGTGAATGGTATTGTTTCCTTAATTTCTCTTTCTGTTTTCTCATTGTTAGTGTATAGGAATGCAAGGGATTTATGTGTGTTAATTTTATATCCTGCAACATTACTGTATTCATTGATTAGCTCTAGTAATTTTCTGGTAGAGTCTCTAGGGTTTTCTATGTAGAGGATCATGTCATGTGCAAACAGAGTTTTACTTCTTTTCCTGTCTGGATTCCTTTTATTTCTCTTTCTGCTCTGATTGCTGTGGCCAATACTTCCAAAACTATGTTGAACAGTGGTGGTGAGAGTGGGCACTCTTGTCTTGTTCCTGACTTTAAGGGAAATGCTTTCAATTTTTCACCATTGAGGATAATGTTTGCTGTGGGTTTGTCATATATAGCTTTTATTATGTTGAGGTATGTTCCTTCCATTCCTGCTTTCTGGAGAGTTTTAATCATAAATGGATGTTGAATTTTGTCAAAGGCTTTTTCTGCGTCTGTTGAGATAATCATAAGGTTTTTATCTTTCAGTTTGTTAACGTGTATTACATTGATTGATTTGTGGATGTTAAAGAATCCTTGCATTCCTGGGATAAAGCCCACTTGGTCATGATGTATGATCTTTTTAATGTGTTGTTGGATTGTGTTTGCTAGAATTTTGTTAAGGATTTTTGCATCTATGTTCATCAGTGATATTGGCCTGTGGTTTTCTTTTTTTGTGGCATTTTTTGTCTGGTTTTGGTATTAGGGTGATGGTGGCCTCATAGAATGAGCTTGGAAGTTTGCCTTCTTCTGCAATATTCTGGGAGAGTTTGAGTAAGATAGGTGTTAGCTCTTCTCTGAATTTTTGGTAGAATTCAGCTGTGAAGCCATCTGGTCCTGGGCTTTTGTTTGCTGGAAGATTTCTGATTACAGTTTCGATTTCTGTACTTGTGATGGGTCTGTTTAGATCTTCTATTTCTTCCTGGTTCAGTTTTGGAAAGTTACACTTTTCTAAGAATTTGTCCATTTCTTCCAAGTTGTTCATTTTATTGGCATATAGCTGCTGGTAGTAGTCTCTTATGATCCTTTGTATTTCAGAGTTGTCTGTTGTGATCTCCCCATTTTCATTTCTAATTTTGTTGATTTGGTTCTTCTCCCTTTGTTACTTGATGAGTCTGGCTAACAGTTTGTCAATTTTATTTACCTTTTCAAAAAACCAGCTTTTAGCTTTGTTGATTTTTGCTATGGTCTCTCTTGTTTCTTTTACATTGATTTCTGCCCTAATTTTTAAGATTTCTTTCCTTCTACTAACCCTGGGGTTCTTAATTTCTTCCTTCTCTAGTTGCTTTAGGTGTAGAATTAGGTTATTTATTTGACTTTTTTCTTGTTGTTCTGTAAAAGTAGTGCTAAGGGGAAGGTTCATAGCAATACAGGCTAATAGTTCTTTTAAATGAGATTTAGCCCAGAGTTAAAAGTGGTTAAGACTTATTTGTTGTTTTATTTGTGCCTGGCACTGAGATATATGTGCTTCGCATCTATTGTTTCATTTAATCTTCATTATAACTCTGTGAAATAAATATATATATACACACATATATATGCATATATACATAAACGTGTGTGTGTAGGCAGGGTACAGAGATTACTAACTTGGCCAAGGTCATATAACTAATAAGTGGTTGAGTCAGATTTTGAACCTGTTGTTTGCCACCGAGTTTTACTATTTCGTAGTTAGTAAATATTTAAAGTATACAGTGAAGTATAAAAAGCTGAATTTAACCTTAGAGATCATTCAGTTGAACTGAGAGCTGAGACCCAAAATTGTGAGGTGACTGAACTGAAAGTTGTGGTAGTGCTAGGGCTATGACTTGGTTCTTCTGGCTTCTAGCCTCGTCGTCTTTTTATGTGTAGACCCTACAGCTGTGGTTTGTGGAATGGCTTAATTTTTCCTTTTTCAGATAGTATGTAGGACTAAATTCATTATCTTTATTATTTAACAGTGACATCACATCAGGTGATATCTATCAATAGCTAAAAGTAAAATTTTCAGAGTTAAAAATTTAAACCTCACATTTCCTTCAACTTAAAACTTTTGTAGGAAAAATCCTTAAGATATAGTTTAATTTTAGATATATAAAATCTGAAACAAAAAATAACAAAGTAGGAATTATTTATGCAAGCAGTCTCCAAAAGACAGTGATATAATCTACAAAGTCTTATAAGTCACTTACTTGGAATTCATTTGGAAACAAGTATATTAAACATGGTCATGAAATTTCTACCTCAGTCAGTAGCTGAAGTGTAGTGTTTTTTCTTTTTCTAGCTGTTTTGGAGCCAAGTCTGAGCTGTAGAAGCTGTAGGAGCTTTGAGATTTCCACTGCATATCTCTGTTGGATATTTCATTTCAGTGGTAGCTGATTTAGCCTTCATAGAATTCTATGGCTTACCACCAAAATTCTGAAGTAATGAGTTAAGAGATTTTTACTTTGATAGTTTTGGCATGCTCCAGAGGCTGACGTGCCAAAGGAATCCATGAAAGCGTATATTGATCAGAATGAAATATGGCAGTGACTCTTTAGACTAGCGCTGTCCAATAGAAATGTTCTGTAGCTGCACTTTTCCAATGCAGTAGCCACCAGCTGTTTGTGGCTTTGAGCATTTGCAGTGTGGTTGGTGAAACTGAGGAACTGAATTTTAAATTTTATTTAGTTTTAATTAAATAGTCACATGTGGCTAGTAGCTACTGTATTACACAGTGCAGCTTTTGGCAGAAATTGCAATTCTAATTACCAACTTTTTAGTGTCTTTGCTGGTGTATTAGTGGAGGTTCCTAAGTAGCTACTGTGATCTTCAGGCCTTTAAAGTAGATCATCTTAAAGTCATCTTTATAGTCATGCATGCATACTCTGTCACTCAGTTGTGTCAGACTCTTTGCAGCCCCATGGACTGTAGCCTGCCATGCTCCTCTGTCCATGAGGTAGTGGATATCTTGTTCACATGGACAGGGCATTTATTAATTGAATATTTGTAAATTGAATACTAATTTTAAAGTTCTGCTAAATGATATTTTTATGATCACTTAACAAAAATGTTATATTTGAGTTTCATAGGCTGTGTAATTGAAGCTGTTAAAGAATATTCTGTATTCTTGATATTAGTAGGTCCTTAATGCTGAGCAAGAATTGTATGTATTTATCTATACATACCACTGATACTAGTATAGGGGCAGGCTGCAACTATTCAAATAACTGAGTTAAAGAATTACCTCAGAACTTGGTGAATGTAGTTGATACTAGTTCACATTTAATATTATATAAATATTTACTAGAGTCTCTTGTTCTTCTATTATAAACACTTAATAGCAATAGCTTCGGAAATTAAAATAATAATTTTATTCGTGGGGTCTAATTCAATCCAAATAACTTGGAAATTATTGAATAAAATGCAGGAAAATTTACTTTAGTCAGCTTGAGAATAAAGAGGAATGTGAAGATTGTATTAACTGTATCTCAGTATTTTAGGTTTCTGTTACTTGATTTTTTATTTTTTTGCTTTGTAACTAAAACATGAAATTTTAAAAAGTACCTGTATATTTAAAAAAATGTATGCTGTTATATGTGTGGGAATCCAGAAAACAGATTCTTGTTTTAAATAAGACAGTTCAAATTTTTGAAAATTTATTTTAGCAACATTTGTTTTGAATTTTAGACATAATCGTGAATTTTTGAAGGCAAGTACTGTGACTTATTTATTTTTGTTTTTCCCCTAGAACTTAGCCCCATTACCTTACATATAGGAAAAAATGACCGTGATTAGTTTGAGTAGTTATTATTTGATTGAAGTAATCTATGATGAAATACTATATCCGACTAATTTTTTTTCCTTTTGAGTTCATTGATTAGAAAACCCAGAAAAACATAAAATTGATTTATGATTATGTTTTCTTATGGAAAAAATTATATTTATATCTGAAATGTGAAGACTCGGTAACAGTTAAAGGTTAATGTCAGCATCTGAATATTCAGATTTATTGAAATAGTATACTATGAGGTGATTTTTCATTTCTGCAGAAGGATGCTCTTAAAAAAACTTTATATATAGTAATTTCAGACTTGTTCAGATATTAAGGGCTTAATAGAATCACCATTTTACTTAATAAATTTGAGTTCATTCAAGAATGAACCAATTATGTAGAGTGAGTTAAATGTTTATATTAGGCTTATCTAACTTAAACATTGAGCTTTTTATAGGAAAAAAGGTTAAATATGTGTGTATTTAATGAAATCTACTTTAATGCTAGTTATCTTTATTTTATAGTAAAGAAAACTGAGGTATAACTTGCTGCCTTGTATGGAGTCATATGGTGAGTTTGAAGATGAAAATTAGATGAAAATTAGAACTTCTGAATCTCAAGTTTCATGTTTCAGTATTTGGCTTTACTTAAGGTGACTTATAAAATTGACTGATATCATGTATCAGTACTTACATAACAATTTACAGAAAATCAGCTCTTCAACTTGATTGGTGGCAACACTTTTCAGCCAAAAAGTAAGTGTTGTTGCTAGGATAGATACTAGTGTTCAGTTCAGTTCAGTCGCTCAGTCATGACCGACTTTGTGACCCCATGGACTGCAGCACACCAGGCCTCCCTGTCCATCACCAACTCCCGAAGCCTGCTCAGACTCATGTCCATTGAGCCGGTGATGCCACCCAACCATCTCATCCTCTGTCATCACCTCTGTTGTCTGCCTTCAGTCTTTCCCACTGTCTTTTCCATTGAGTCAGTTCTTCATATCAGGTGGCCAAAGTTTTGGAGCTTCAGCTTCAGCATCAGCCCTTCAAGTGAGTATTCAGGACTGATTTCCTTTAGCATTAACTGGTTGGATCTCCTTAATGTCCAAGGGACTCTCAAGAGTCTTTTCCAACACCACAGTTTAAAAGAATCAATTCTTTGGCGCTCAGCTTTTTTTATGGTCCAACTCTCCCATCCGTACAGGACTACTGGAAAAACCATGGTTTTGACTAGACGGACCTTAGTCAGCAAAGTATTGTCTCTGCTTTTTCATATGCTGTCCAGGTTTGTCATAGCTTTTCTTCCAAGGAGCAAGCATCTTTTAATTTCATGGCTGCTGTCACCATCTGCAGTGATTTTGGAGCCCAAGAAAATAAAGTCTGTCCCTGTCTCCATTGTTTCAGGGTAAATTAAATGTGTTCACTCAGGACATGGCAAGAGTGAACATTGACATAGGAATCAGTGAACTAAAATGCAGTCACCATCTGCAGTGATTTTGGAGCCCAAGAAAATGAAGTCTGTCCCTGTTTCCATTGTTTACCCAATCTGTTTGCCTTGAAGTGAGGGTACTGGATCACCTGACTGGATGCCAGGATCTTTTTTTTAAATGCTGAGTTTTAAGTCAGGTTTTTCACTCTCCTCTTTCACTTTCATCGAGAGGCTCTTTAGTTGTTCTTCCCTTTCTGCCATAAGGGTGATGTCATCTACATATCTGTCATCTACATATCAGATTTTTCTCCTGGCAATCTTGATTCCAGCTGTGTTTCATCCAGCTTGGCATTTCACATGATGTACTCTGCATGTAAATTAAATAAGAAGGGAGACAACATACATCCTTGACATACTCCTTTCCCAATTTAGGACCAGTCTGTTATTCCATGTCCGGTTTTAACTGTTGCTTCCTGACCTGCATACAAATGTCTCAGGAGGCAGGTAAGGTGGTCTGGCATTCCTATCTCTTGAAGAATTTTCCACAGTTTGTTTGATCCACACAAAGTCTTTAGTGTAGTCAATGAAGTAGACGTAGGTATTTTTCTGGAATTCTCTTGCTTATTTGATGATCCAGCAGATGTTGACAATTTGATCTCTGGTTCCTCTGCCTTTTCTAAATCCAGCTTGAACATCTGGAAGTTCTTGGTTCACGTACTGTTGAAGCCTAGTTTGGAGAATTTTGAGTATTACTTTGCTAGCGTGTGAGATGAGTGCAGTTGTGTGGTAGGTAGTTGGAGCATTCTTTGGCATTGCCTTTCTTTGGGATGGGAATGAAAACTGACCTTTCCAGTCCTGTGGCCATTGCTGAGTTTTCCACATTTGTTGACGTATTGAGTGTGGCACTTTAACAGCGTCAACTTGTAGAATTTGAAATAGCTCAGCTGTAATTCCATGACCTCCACTAGCTTTGTTCGTAGTGATGCTTTCTAAGGCCCGCTTGACTTCGCACTCTAGGATGTCTGGCTCTAAGTGAGTGATCTCACCATCGTGGTTATCTAGGTCATTAAGACCTGTTTTTTTATATACTTCTTCTGTGTATTCTTGCCATGTCTTTTTAATATCTTCTGTTTCTGTTAGGTCCTTATCATTTCTGTCTTTCATTGTTTCCATCTTTGCATGAAATATTCCCTTGGTATTTCTAATTTTCTTGAAGAGATCTCTAGTCTTTCCCATTCTATTGTTTTCCTCTGTTTCTTTGCATTGATTGCTTAGGAAGGCTTTCTTATGTTTCTTTTATGCATAGACAAAAACTAATTATTTCTAAAAATATTATAAAGCTGTCATGTATCTTCAACAATTATTTCTCAACAATATATCTTGAATATATTGACAGTGGCAGTGCCCTGCTAAAGAGTGAGGTGGGAGACTTTTGTCTTCTGCATGAGTTTGATAGGTCTGCTATAGCAAAGTATTATAGAGTAGATGACTTAACAAACTTATTTTCTCATAATTCTGGAGGCTAAACATCTAAGATCTAGGTATTTTTGAGAGACTTGAAGGAAGGATCTATTTCAGGCCTCTCTCCTTGGCTTATAGATGGTCATCTGCTTCCTGTGTCTTCAAATGGTCTTATCTCTGTACATGTATATGTGTCCTCGTCTGCTCTTCTCTTACGGACAGTGATTATAATGTATTAGTGCCCACTGTCATAATCTCACTTTAACTTACTTCTTTAAAGATTCTGCCTCCAAATATGTACTCATTGTGAGGTACTGATAGTGAGGACTTCAGAATATGAATTTTGGAGAAACACAGTTTAGCTCATAACATACACCAACTGGAAATATATGATATTTTTAATATTAGTATACAGTGAATTTCCCTAATCTTTTAAAATTAGGCATTGCTTGACTTCACCTACTTTCCTGGTTTTAGATTATTATATATGTCTGTACTGCCTATCTTATATGTAGAGCAAAATATACTGTCAAGGAACTCATTTTGCCTTAAACATGTAGTAATATTTTTAATCATTTGACTTGAAGAATTCTATATAACTAGTAAAACAGTATAGTTTAGAAAAGAAAGGGATCATTTCATGATATTCATGACATTTGGAAAAATGAGAAGGCCTTATTTATTTATTTATTTTTGGTAGGTGGACTACTAAACATTTAAATAATGTTAGGCCAGGAAATGATTTGTAAGGTACATTTACAGAAGGGAAAATTCTTTTAAAATTGTAAAAGAATGGCACCTACTTTAATAAGGTATTTCCTGTATACGACATCTCCAAAGTACTGTTTCAATTAGCACTATCTTTTAAGACTGTGGTAGAACATTGTCTTAACTTTGAGTCAGAAGAGAAATGGCATTGCTTTATTATAATAAAAAATGACCTTTAGAAGTGACCACCTTTAACTCATGATGATATCATTGTCTAAGCCAGAACCTTTGAACCCTGTAGATTTTTTCCTTTTGAGGTCTCCCCCTGTCCTATACCCCCACTCCAGTATTCTTGCCTGGGAAATCCCATGGATGGAGGAGCCTGGTAGGCTGCAGTCCACGGGGTCTGTAAGAGTCAGACACGACTGAGCGACTTCACTTTTACTTTTCACTTTCATGCATTGGGGAAGGAAATGGCAACCCACTCCAGTGTTCTTGCCTGGAGAATCCCAGAGATGGAGGAGTCTGGTGGGCTGCCGTCTATGGGGTCACGCAGAGTTGGACACGACTGAAACGACTTAGCAGCAGCAGCCTCTCCTATACAGACAGACAGACAGACATTTTGTTGTTCAGTCGCTCAGTCATGTTCAACTCTTTGCAACCCCATGGACTGCAGCACGCCAAGCTTTCCTGTCCTTCACTATCTCCCTGAGTTTGCTCAACTCGTCCCTTTGTGTCGATGATGTCATCCAGCCATCTCATCTTCTGTTACCCTCTTCTGCCCTCAGTCTTTCCCCGTGTCAGGGTCTTCTCCTATGAGTTGGCCCTTGTGCGTGTGTGTGTGTGTATATACACACACACATATATATATATACCCTCTTTATATATCACTTGTACCCATTCCATTGCTGTTACTTTAGCTTAGAACTTTAATACTGCATCTCTTTTTTTTCCCTCCTTTGCTACTCTTACTATTCCTGTTTCTCCTTCATCTCAGCTTAAAGTATACACATAGTTTTAAATAAAGCAAACAACTTAAAAATACCATGTGGTTTAGCCTCAGTTTCTTAAAAAAGTGCTTATGTGCATATATATTTGTGCTGTCCGTTGCAGAGTCAGTTTTAACCATTTTCTGGTGCTATTCTTTCATGAGGGTTTTTGCTTTTTACTGCTATCCCTTCCTTCCCTCTAAGTGTCTCCCAATATAACCATCTCATTTTTTGGTTAAATCTGTATTTGATATTTTCATTATGATGACCGTATAAACACTATTTACTGATGAGCATGGTACTATGCTATTAATACACTATTATATATAGAATAGCATGTGAGGGGATACATTTTTTACTTGTTTGTTTACCCAGCAATTAATACTTTTCATGTTTTTTAATTTGCTAACTTTTATTAATGTCTATAGCTGAATCTTCTCACACCCTCAAGAACCTCTCAGTTCAATTTTCTATATGTTAAAATCTGTTAGGTAATCTAAAAATTTATATTTTAATCATCTTTTCTTTGGCCTCCTAGAGACGTTCCTCCTGAGGGTACTGTTCTCAGGAGTTAGTCTAGCCTGGCTGTTCTTTAGGCATACCGAACTTGTGTTATCCTGGAACTTTGTGCTGCGTTGAATGCCATGTTTTCTACATCCTGTGTCTTCCTCTTTCTTGACTGAGTCTCTTGTTTTGGTGGATTCTGTAGTAGCTTCAGGAGAAAGAGTGCCTGGGAAGTAAATTTTGTGTGATGTTGCTGTTTTTACTCTTACACTTAAATGAAAAGTTTGGATTTTCTAAATTGAAATATAATTTTGGTAAGAATTTTAAAAGAATTGTTTTACTGTTTCTAGTTTCTGTTCTTATTACTCTTAATCTTTTGTATATTACCTGTTTCTGTTCCCTAATTCCCAACCCCTGAAGATATTCTCTTTATCTTTTTTGTTCTCAAATTTGGCAATGATGTGTCCTGGTATAACTTTTTTCTTGATTGTTCTGTTGAGCATTAGTGGGATCTCTCAGCTCAGAGATTATTATCCTCTGATCGTGGACGTTTTCTTGCATTATTTCTTGGATAACTTACCCCCTGCTTTCTCTCTATTCTCTCTCTGTAAATGTAAGTGTTGTACCTTTAAATTGATTTTCTGACAACCTTGTATTTTCTGTTTTGTTTATGTGTGTGTGTGTGTGTGTGTGTGTGTGTATGAATTTTTTTTCTCAGTTCTGAGGACATTTTTTTTTTTAAGTGAATGAAAAAATTTTGGCTATTGTATTTTAAATCCTATTTTGTTTTCTGGTCATTACTTTTTATAACATCCTTTTTTTGTCTCATATCTCTAAAGATGCTATCTACATTTTCTCTAATATTTGTCTTGCTTTTTGCAAGGGTTCTTTCTCTGTTTTATTGATTTTGGTCTGACAGACAAGAGGTTTTCCTAAAATTTCTGGTGCTTATTGGTTGTATATTTAACACCAAGGCACTAAAATGCTTCTGTGCTTGGTCAGAACTTCTAGGATGGTGATATTTTACTGTATGTTCTTTGGTCTGTTTCTTTAGCAAGAAATGTGTAATTTTCCCTGATTGGAGTCTCACTTTGTTCTTTTATTTTAGCCTAGCATCCATCCCTTCTTTGCTGTGTACCTGGCATACCTGAATTGGGTTCAGTTTTTCTGTTCTCTCTCCTGTCTGTTGCCTCTTATTCTTACTTTGTCTCTCATTTGTTAGCACGTTTTTTCCAGATAATGATTCACTGCAATCTTTTTCATAGATATAATCATATTCCAGGTATATGACTGAAACTGACTTTGCTCCCAAATGTTCTATCGACTGTAAATAACTACTATCAACCATTATCTATCAATCATCTCTTTATCTAAATTTTACTAGTTTAAATCTTAGAGAGTGGACTCTGAATTTCTCACTGTTGTTGCCATGTACTGTGAATATCAACTCAGAAATTGCTATTAGAATTATTAAAGTAGATCTTAAGTCTCCTACTATGTATTACAAAAATGTATTTATTTTTCTTTTTGAAAATAAGGTTTGCTTCTCTCCTTTTGAAAATTAGATAATTCAAAAATGGCAGAGCTCTTTATGGAATGTGAAGAAGAAGAGTTGGAACCATGGCAGAAGAAAGTAAAAGAGGTCGATGATGATGATGATGATGAACCAATCTTTGTTGGAGAGATATCAAGTTCAAAGCCAGCAATTTCAAGTGAGCATTTACTTTCAGTAAACCCCAGTTTTGTAAGATACCATTTCTAATAGAAAAACTTGTGAACTCTCTTATATGCATTTAATTAAGTCCTTGTTCCTTGGTAAGGAGTTAAAGATGAAAGATTGGGTGGGAAATTAGTAAGAATTTCAGAATTAGAGTTTTAAAATTGGGAAGTTGAGGAAGGAGCTAAGAAGTTAAATTATCAGATGTGAGAAAAATAAATGCACTAAGATAAGCTGGTGACATCGGAAGTCTTTTCATAATAGAAATCATGATTTTTAGTGGAGCCAAGTAACCTGTTTATCTTTTTGTTCATTTTCTTTTTTTTTTCCCCCTCACTTAAAACCCAGAAACAGAAGAGTTTAGAATACTTTGCTTAAAATGTTAGAATACACTAAATATGTTTGGGTTAGTCTTAGATAGGGGTTCTCACATGCAAGCAGCTGCCTCATTGCAGTGACATTTATAGTAGCTACAAAATGTATAGACAGTGAATGATTTCAGTTAAGAGTAATTGGATTTGACATTGTTATACTGTTAAAGACAAATGGCTCTTGTTAAAACATCCACTCAAAAATGTATGGAAGTACAGAGAAATAATGTATACATTTCAGGGGAGAAAGAGAAAATAGATCCCTTCCCATTGCATTTACATGTTTTTTGTTTGCTTAAGTCAGGAGAATTTACCAAAGCTCATAACCAGCATACTAGTGTTTTTTTTTTTTTTTGCCAAAATCAGTGCTTAAAAGTATAACAAGGAGACTGCTTTTAAATTTTCTGAAAGCCTGATTCTTTCTTCTATTGCCTCTAAGCTTGGAATGGCACTTTTTTTTTCAGTTTTAACAGAGGGAGAATAGCTTAACTGATGGAATTCTGAATAGCATTTTTTGTGGAAGATTGACAGTCACTCAAAGAGGTTCTGCATGAAGTGCTACTTTGATTATAAATTGAACTAGGGGTGGTGGCATGCTTGTTGCTGATAGTGGAACATAATTATATATTCTCTTAATTACTGTTTCTAGTCGCTATGATTATTTTATATGGGAATATTACCATATTGCAAAATCGTTACTCAAGTTATCTTACTGAAAACAAGACAATTAAGATTCAAATTGAATTTATACTGATTTTTAGATGATTCTTAACAGTATTCAAATAGAAAAATGTATGTTAATTTTAAAATAATTGTCAGAAGGAGACTGACCCCAGTAGAATTTCTTTTCTGTACTCTTAAGATGCAGAATTTAAATGATTATGTTGTTGCTTTTGTATAAGCCATAAAATATTTTAACATATGGAGTATGAGCTAAATGTTTATATATGTTGCCAGAAAGGAAGGTAAAAACTTTTTTATTGTAGAATACAAACACCAAAATGTACTTTAGCAATAGTCCTTTGAAGGTTTGAATAAATACTTAAATCTTGAATTTATGCATGAAAGTGGTGTCAAGTTGTTTGAGCAGATTGTTCTCCTTTAAGACATCTCTAATACTTAGGTATAGAGCACTGCATTGCCATTTTCAGAAAACAGCCCTACTTTCATATGGCCCTTTACACTATAGAATTAATTTATGGAGGCTTGTGCCTTTCTGTTATGAGGGGAAATGAGGAAATTGTTTTATGAGGTCTGGTGTTGGTCCTTTTACCTTTTTCTAACCCAATAATTTTAGGCAAATCCTTACTCTTCTGAATTTTAGTTTGGTTATAGAAAAACCTGTATATTATTGAGTTCACATGCATGCATGCAATTAGAAACTTTAAACTGATCCTGAAAGTCATATTAGGCCCTGACTGACTTCTGGTATAGTGATAAATATAAAGCTCGTTAAGTTGCAAGATATTCTGGTAAACTGTATGTTCACTTTAGTCTGCATTCTCTTATAGTTTCTCTTTTAGGACTTGAATAATGGTGGAGATAATCCAATGAGGTCCCTTATAATGATACTTCAGGGCTTATAAGGGTGTGAGTTGGATATGGATTTTGGACAGGATTTGATTTTCAGTAAATAGGAACTTGAGTGCATGTATGTACAGCCCTTTCATCTCTCAAAGCAAGATATATACTTCAATTTTAGTTGTATATGAGTATATTTTTGGAATATTTTTGCCAATTATGTGAACTATTTCTTTGCCATGCAGAAGGTTTGACTTATGGGAATCATATTTATCAATCTTTAACTTCAGGGTTTTGGATTTTGAATTACAGTTAGAAATATTATTATTCTGTAAGAATAAATATACTATTTTTAGTAAATAAAGATATGTATGTTTAAAATTAACTGTATTCATAAAGCAGTGTTAACCTGTATACTCCTTCCAGAAATCTTTTCAGTTGTTTTTAGTGTATGATTTCTATTTCTATCTATCTATCTATATCTATATATAATTCAAACAATGAGTTTTAAATAATGTAATCTTTTATAGATATTTTGAATAGAGTAAACCCCAGCTCATATTCGAGGGGAATAAAGAATGGTGCACTCTGCCGAGGTACAGTAGTATTTTACTATTTTTATTTTAAAGTGAAGTGTTTTGACATCATTGATTATATAGAAATATATTCAATGTGTTGTGTAATTTTAAAATACAGGTATTACTCCTGCATTCAAGCCTACAAGTCAACATTACACGAACCCAACATCAAATCCAGTGGCTGCCTCGCCAGTAAATTTTCATCCTGAATCTAGATCTTCAGATAGTTCTGTTATTGTTCAGCCTTTGTCTAAACCTGTAAGTGTTTCTGAAACTACACAGTCAGCTCAGGAATATGTTGGGTATTATTTATCTGTGTCAACAATGCATAGTGAAAATTCTGTATTGCCATGGGTAATCATTCAGTGGAATGATAATCAGCATCAGAAAATGTCACCATCTTTATGATAGTTTAACCAATACCCAAATAATAATTGTAGGAACAAACTACCCAGCCTGTTTTTAAATCTGATAAATATGCTTAAATAGGCTACAGTATTGAAAACTGTGCTATTAAAACATGAATAAAAGTATATTTAGTAATAATGGCAAACTATTTCAGATTGTAAACTGGGCTAAATGTTCTTAGTTCTTAACTGGGAAAATTGCTGAGAGGCTATTGTAGCCTTTTATTCTGAAAACGTACCTTCATAGTTTAGTTTAACTCTAATAGAAAGTAATAGTTAATATTGAGTTGTTAATATATGTAAGGTTTTGTGCTATCATGAATTAATCTCTTTAAATTCTTAAATGTTCCTATGAAGTAGGCAGTATTATTTTTGTTTTATAGTTGAGGAAACTGAGGCTCATATTTAAATTTTAAAGTTTAAATAATTCACTCAAGGTGGCATAGCTGGCAAATGATAGATCTGGGATTTCAATCCATTGCCTTAGTGTAAAAATTTTCAGTGTAGTCTTCAGTCCCCTGGGGTACCCCTGAGACTGTTTCATGGGCTTTGGATCAGCAGTATTGTCAAAATAACACAAAGGCACTATTTGCTTTTGTCACTGTGTTGACACTTGTACTGCTGGTGTGTTAGTATATATAGTATTTTTTGTACCAGTCACCACTATGTACTCACAATAAAAATTATTTCAGTCATACTCAGTTACCTTGGTGAAATATTAAAATGCCATTAATTTTATGAACTCTCTACACTTGAATATATGTCTTTTAAAATGTTTCACATATGAAATGGGTAGTATGCATAATATACTTCTCTGTCTGAGGTATGATGATTAGCTTGGGAAAAAGTAGTAGTGTGGTTTAATGTTGAGCTAAATTACCCAGAAGACCATTTTTACTTGAAAGGTTGACTGAAACCATGGTGTGTATTACTATTAACTTAGTGGTTTAAAACTACATCTATTATGTCACAAATTTTGTGAGTTAGAAGTCATGTCATGTCTTAGCTGGATCTTCTGCTTCAGAGTTCCTCAAGGCTTCATTCAAGATGTGCTCAACTAAGGAAGTGTCTGCTTCCAAGTTCTCATGATTATCGGTAGCATTCGGTTCCTTAAGGAACCGAATTGTCATATTGAAGGTCTCAGTATTTTACTGGCTTGTGGTTGGCTCCTTGCCAGGTTGAGTTTTCCCAACATGGCTCTTACTTCTTCAGAGCCCACAAGGGAGAGAAAATGCTTAGCAGGAGGCTGTTATAGCCTTATGTAATGTAGTCACATAGAAAAATCATATGTATCCTGTCACTTTTGCTGTACTCTGTCGGAAGCAAGTCACATGACTTGCCTTCACTCAAAGAGATGGAATCACACAGGACGTGAATTCCAGGGAGTGGGGATCATGGAGGCTACTTTTAAGAGTCTGTCTGCCACACACAGTGAGTTCTTCGCTTTTTGTTGTTTGGTAGACACTTCCTCAAAATTGAATAAAGTGTACTTGTCACCTAAAGGAAAACAACTGATAATATTTCTTGCCACTGATGAAATTTGAGCTATCAAATAAAAATTAGAATTGTGAACAACTTGTATCAGTCATCATGATCTTAACAACTTCCCAGTACATAAAGTCTTTTCTTATAGTTGGTAGTATTATTTTTTTTTTTTTTTTTTTTTTTTTTTCTTTTTTTTTTTTATTAATTTATTTTTTTTTTATCACAACCATAGTGTATCTTTTTTTTTTTTTTTTTTTTACATGTATTCCCCATCCCGGTCCCCCCTCCCACCTCCCTCTCCACCCAATCCCTCTGGGTCTTCCCAGTGCACCAGGCCCGAGCACTTGTCTCATGCACCCAACCTGGGCTGGTGAACTGTTTCACCCTAGATAATATACGTGTTTCAATGCTGTTCTCTTGAAACATCCCACCCTCGCCTTCTCCCAGAGTCCACAAGTCTGTTCTATACATCGGAGTCTCTTTTTCTGTTTTGCACATAGGGTTATCGTTACCATCTTTCTAAATTCCATATATATGTGTTAGTATACTGTAATGGTCTTTATCTTTCAGGCTTACTTTGCTCTGTATAATGGGCTCCAGTTTCATCCATCTCATTAGAACTGATTCAAATGAATTCTTTTTAATGGCTGAGTAATATTCCATGGTGTATATGTACCACAGCTTCTTCATCCATTCATCTGCTGATGGGCATCTAGGTTGCTTCCATGTCCTGGCTATTATAAACAGTGCTGCGATGAACATTGGGGTGCACGTGTCTCTTTCAGATCTGGTTTCCTCGGTGTGTATGCCCAGAAGTGGGATTGCTGGGTCATATGGCAGTTCTATTTCCAGCTTTTTAAGAAATCTCCACACTGTTTTCCATAGTGGCTGTACTAATTTGCATTCCCACCAACAGTGTAAGAGGGTTCCCTTTTCTCCACACCCTCTCCAGCATTTATTGCTTGTAGACTTTTGGATAGCAGCCATCCTGACTGGTGTGTAATGGTACCTCATTGTGGTTTTGATTTGCATTTCTCTGATAATGAGTGATGTTGAGCATCTTTTCATGTGTTTGTTAGCCATCTGTATGTCTTCCTTGGAGAAATGTCTGTTCAGTTCTTTGGCCCATTTTTTGATTGGGTCATTTATTTTTCTGGAGTTGAGCTGGAGGAGTTGCTTGTATATTTTTGAGATTAATCCTTTGTCTGTTGCTTCGTTTGCTATTATTTTCTCCCAATCTGAGGGCTGTCTTTTCACCTTGCTTATAGTTTCCTTTGTTGTGCAAAAGCTTTTAAGTTTCATTAGGTCCCATTTGTTTATTTTTCCTTTTATTTCTAAAATTCTGGGATGTGGGTCATAGAGGATCCTGCTGTGATTTATGTCGGAGAGTGTTTTGCCTATGTTCTCCTCTAGGAGTTTTATAGTTTCTGGTCTTACATTTAGATCTTTAATCCATCTTGAGTTTATTTTGGTGTATGGTGTTAGAAAGTGTTCTAGTTTCATTCTTTTACAGGTGGTTGACCAGTTTTCCCAGCACCACTTGTTAAAGAGGTTGTCTTTTTTCCATTGTATATCCTTGCCTCCTTTGTCGAAGATAAGGTGACCATAGGTTCGTGGATTTATCTCTGGGCTTTCTATTCTGTTCCATTGATCAATATTTCTGTCTTTGTGCCAGTACCATATTGTCTTGATGACTGTGGCTTTGTAGTATAGTCTGAAGTCAGGCAGATTGATTCCTCCAGTTCCATTCTTCTTTCTCAGGATTACTTTGGCTATTCGAGGTTTTTTGTATTTCCATACAAATTGTGAAATTATTCGTTCTAGTTCTGTGAAAAATATCGTTGGTAGTTTGATAGGGATTGCATTGAATCTGTAGATCACTTTGGGTAGTATAGCCATTTTGACAATATTGATTCTTCCAATCCATGAACACGGTATATTTCTCCATCTGTTTGTGTCCTCTTTGATTTCTTTCATCAGTGTTTTATAGTTTTCTATGTATAGGTCTTTTGTTTCTTTAGGTAGATATACTCCTAAGTATTTTATTCTTTTGGTTGCAATGGTGAATGGTATTGTTTCCTTAATTTCTCTTTCTGTTTTCTCATTGTTAGTGTATAGGAATGCAAGAGATTTCTGTGTGTTAATTTTATATCCTGCCACTTTACTGTATTCGTTGATTATCTCTAGTAATTTTCTGGTAGAGTCTTTAGGATTTTCTATGTAGACGATCATGTCATCTGCAAACAGAGAGAGTTTCACTTCTTCTTTTCCTATCTGGATTCCTTTTACTTCTTTTTCTGCTCTGATTGCTGTGGCCAAAACTTCCAAAACTATGTTGAATAGTAGTGGTGAGAGTGGGCACCCTTGTCTTGTTCCTGATTTCAGGGGAAATGCTTTCAGTTTTTCACCATTGAGGGTGATGCTTGCTGTGGGTTTGTCATATATAGCTTTTATTATGTTGAGGTATGTTCCTTCTATTCCTGCTTTCTGGAGAGTTTTAATCATAAATGGATGTTGAATTTTATCAAAGGCTTTTTCTGCATCTATTGAGATAATCATATGGTTTTTATCTTTCAATTTGTTAATGTGGTGTATTACATTGATTGATTTGCGGATATTAAAGAATCCTTGCATTCCTGGGATAAAGCCCACTTGGTCATGATGTATGATTTTTTTAATATGTTGTTGGATTCTGTTTGCTAGAATTTTGTTAAGGATTTTTGCATCTATGTTCATCAGTGATATTGGCCTGTAGTTTTCTTTTTTTGTGGCATCTTTGTCTGGTTTTGGAATTAGGGTGATGGTGGCCTCATAGAATGAGTTTGGAAGTTTACCTTCTTCTGCAATTTTCTGGAAGAGTTTGAGTAAGATAGGTGTTAGCTCTTCTCTAAATTTTTGGTAGAATTCAGCTGTGAAGCCATCTGGTCCTGGGCTTTTGTTTGCTGGAAGGTTTCTGATTACAGTTTCGATTTCCTTGCTTGTGATGGGTTTGTTAAGATCTTCTATTTCTTCCTGGTTCAGTTTTGGAAAGTTATATTTCTCTAAGAACTTGTCCATTTCTTCCAAGTTGTCCATTTTATTGGCATAGAGCTGCTGGTAGTAGTCTCTTATGATCCTTTGTATTTCAGTGTTGTCTGTTGTGATCTCTCCATTTTCGTTTCTAATTTTGTTAATTTGGTTCTTCTCCCTTTGTTTCTTAATGAGTCTTGCTAATGGTTTGTCAATTTTGTTTATTTTTTCAAAAAACCAGCTTTTAGCTTTGTTAATTTTTACTATGATCTCTTTAGTTTCTTTTGCATTTATTTCTGCCCTGATTTTTAAGATTTCTTTCCTTCTACTAACCCTGGGGTTCTTCATTTCTTCCTC